AGCCATTTACTAAAAAGGCTGTCTTTGCTGCAGTGTGTTTTCTTGGCCCCTTTGTCAAAGATCAAATAGTTAATGTGCCTGGGGTTTCTGCATTCTCTGTTCTGTTCCACTGATCCTCATGTCTGTTTTTTACCACTACCAATGTTGTTTTTGTCACAGTCTCTTTGTAATATAACTTCAAATCTGGGATTCATTTTTAATGACACTGGAGGTAGAATTTTACTTCTAATATTTTCCCTTAACTTTGAGTATTTTGGTCCTATTTCTTATTAGGTTGGACAACACGATCAGTCTTCACTTTGGGATGTGGCTTCTACAGGCTGACTCAGTGCGAAGTGTGTGCTTTGCTGGCCATGGTTTTGTATTGCCTTTGTTAGTATAACTTGTGCTTTTTATGGGACTCTTCAAGGGTTCTTGTCCCTTCTAAGGCTTAGTTTAGTTATGATCTGCCTGTCTGTATCCGCTGTGTGTGTGCTGATGGTAAAAGCTGGGGTGTGGGTGAGCCTGTTCATCCCCGTCACCCTCTGCTCTGCAGAGGGATGCAGGGAGGGTGCAGGGCTCAAGTCTACTTGTGTTAGGACTGTTTAGTATTTTATGTGATGTAATTAGCATGAAAAGATGTATCGTGAAATACTTCAGATATAGTGCAGATAAGCATTATATGCAAATATCGTATGTCATACTTGCATTAGTCAAGTGTAGTTTTCTGTCTTTAAGTGTGCATGTGTGCATGCTGGGGATTGAACCCAGGAGTTCATGTCTGCTAGGCAAACACTCTACTACTGAGCTACAACCCTAGCCTCCCTTCCTTTTTAAAAATGTTGAGACCAGGTCTTGCTAAGTTGTCCACACTGGCCCCTCAGTCTGTCCTCCTGCCTCAGCCACCCAAGTGCGTGGGATCACGGAGTGTAGTCTTTCTGCCCCACCCCACAGATAGCCTCTATCCTCTTTTGGGGGGTTCAAAATAAATATAACTTCTAGGACTTTCCTCCCCAGCCCGGTGGGACATCTTCCATACCCTCTGGGAGGTAAGTGTCCTGCTGGTCAGCAGCTGGTTTCTTCACCCTTGCTGTGGGTTGGATCCAAAGTGCTCCCCAAAGTCTCACTTATTCAAAGGTGGGGCTTTTAGGAGGTGACTGGGTCACAAGGGTTCTAATTTCTTTTTTTTTTTCCTTAAATTCTTTTATTGGTACATTTTAGGTATACAATACATTTACATTTATCTTTGGGTGCTTGTACCTGTACATGATGTATCTTGGCTCCTATTTTTCCCCCATTACCTGTGCGCCCTTCACCCCTAAACCCTTCCCTATTTACATACTTCATTTCCTTTTTTTTTTTCTTTTCTCACAATTTTTCCTTTCCATTCTTTCCTTTTCCCCTTCCCCTCTCACCACCCCTACCCTTTTGGACCTTTTCCAATTTCAAAGTATCATTTATTAGTTATTAATCCTTTTAGTCCTTATTTACACTCTCAGTTTCTCACACTAGAGAAACTATTCGGTATTTACACATGTGTGTCCTATTTATTTCACTTAAGAGGATGGCCTCAATATGCATCCATA